AAGTTGCTTCTTATAGCAAAAGCCGTGGTCTGCAAAGATATTATAAAACATCAAAAGAACTTCTTGTTAGAAGATGTAGTCAGAAGAAAGATACACTGAACACACTGAAGACAACCATCAACAAGTGGAGAAAATGTGGAACAATAGTAACATTACCAAGAACTAGATGTCCCTACAAACTCAATGAAAAAACAAGAATAAACCTGGCCCTAGAGGCTGCTAAGAGGCCTCTAATGTTGCTTATAGCCAGTATTTGCCAGAAATTTCTACAGCTAGAGCTGTAGAAATTTCTGGAAAATAATGGCTGCCTAGTACATGTGACCACAATCTCCATATTTTTCATATGTCTGAGCTGTGGATAGAGTGGCTAGATGAAAGCCTTTTCTTATAAAGAAAAACATTCAGAAAGGCTACATTTTGCAAATACCTATGTCAAGTCTGACAAAAGCATGTGATGAGACTTTGGTTTACATTTTGCCCATAATTCCAAAGAGTATGTTTGGTGCAAATAGAACACTGCATATCACCAAAACTATACTGTATCCACAGGGACAAAATTATGCTTTGGGGCTGCTTTTCTTCAGCTGGAACTGGGGTTTTAGTCAAGATGGAGGGAATTATGAGCAGGTTCAATTATAATTAAGTAATGGAGGGAATTATGAGCAGGTTCAAATATAATTAATATAAGTTAATTTTGGTACAATAACTTTATGCTCTGCTAAAATGCTGAAGACAAATTTCACTTTACAACATGACAATGATTCAAAGCATAATCAACAAAAGAATAGCTTCACCAGAAGCTATTCTATATTTATTCATTTTATAAAAGCCTAGCCAAAGTACAATTGAAAGTCTGTGAGGTGACCTGAAGAGGGCTGGGCACAGAAGATGCCCTCACAATCTGACAGATTTGGAGCACTTTTCAAAGAAAAGTGGACAGAGATTCTCACGGCAAAATGTGCTTTGCTGATAGGCTCCTTTCCCATAAGACTGAATACTGTCATAAAATTAAAAGGTACTTCAATAAAATATTAATTTAAGAGTGTGTGCAACTTTGTTATTGTAAGTTTTTATTATTATTTCCCCCTTAAAATATTTCACTTTGTACTATTGAATTGTACAATTTATATGTTATATTAAAGATGGAAAAAATTAGGAAATCTTAGTCTATTTCTTTTTTACATTTCAAAAACCTTGCATTGTAACAGGGGAATGTAGATTTTCACAAATAGAACAAACAAAATGTTAAAAAGTTATGATATTTATGTACTTACTTACCAAGCACATCTAAATTATATTAAAGTAACCAAAATATCTTTACAATCTCTCCAAGGCATGTCACAATTTTTGAGCACCCCTAATATTTGGAAATTGAAAGTTAAAAAATTTGACACACCCTACATGTATCAGTATCTTCCAATTAATTTCTAATAGTTTCTTTTTCCTATTTTTATTTTTTTACATATTTTTACATGTTTTCTTTTTTCTCTTTAACATATTTTTCTCTCTGTGTTAGGTTTGGTAGTTTGTCCTGAGAATTTCTTTGCTATCAAGAAGGAACATCCTTACAATTGAATGATGATGGAAGAGCACACAATGGCAGTTGTCAAAACAACTAGGTTTCTCAAAAGGAAGAACAAGAGCATAGTTTAGTTTAAACATGACAATGGGTTAATGCAATGTGGGATCCAATTCTAATCCTAGTGAAAAGATGTGGATTTAATTTATATATAGATAGGTAGAAAGATTGATATAGATAATGCAGTTGAAGTACACTGATGATGATCCATGCTTTTGTCTGGCCCTTCACCACTGTAGGTGAAAGAATGGATTATAGTATCTTTGCCCCAGTTCATTGTAAATGCACCTGCCTCTATATTTCCAAGCCTTTGATTCCAATCTGTTTTCTGACCCAAGCTATATTTACCGCTCTAGAGTGGTTGCTTTGTTCTGTTCTAAAAATAACTCTAGCTCTGATTCACTGTGACATCTGGCATGGCTCTCCCCTCTAGTAGCTGGCCATTGCCCGGTGAAGTAATTTATCTTGAGCTGCTAATGGATTTTTTTTAAAAAAATAATTTTGTGATCAATCCATATATGACCTATTAAGTCAATAAACTATTTTCAGGCATGGAAGTTCTTATTCCTTTGCACCATCATAACTCCCAATGGGCACCTTTACTATTTCTGTCCTGGCTGAGTGAAATACGCACCCCTTGATTTTTCACTTCCTTCCTATAGTACTGCAAATCTTCCTTTCATTAAAAAAAGTCTTTAAGTTTCAATATAGGAAGTTTGCTACTTCATGTCTATGAAGTTGAACTGATAGCTCTTCCTCAGTACAAATTTTACACGGACCTACAGAGGAACATTGGAACAACAACAAATAAATGTGTCCTCTGCTGCAACTGATTGGTATAAGGGTACTAGAAAGGGTGAAAGAGGAGAGAGAAGAAGGGTTTTAGTTAGTGTCCAAAGACATAATATTTTGTGTATGTGTGTGTGAGTGTGTGTGTGTGTGTGTAAAAGAATCTGGGAAAGCAAAGGAAATCCATGACATTATTGAAGTCTAAAAAAAAAAGAAGAAGAAGACAGGCATTGATAGACAGGCCCACATAGAGGCAAGCCAATATGGCTCGCCTTCACTGCACAGATGGGAAGGCCAATACATAACAGAACAGAATTCAGGTCTTGGGATGGCCATAAACCCAATCACACTGTAAACCATTACAATTTTATTTATAATTTCTGAAGCAACAGCATTAAGAATCAGATGGAAGGAACATGGGAGACAAACTTTAGGTTGTAATGTGGAATTACCCTCAAAATATTTCTACTTCCCCCAAATCCATAATATTTTTTTTAAAAAATCTGCTACTAACTGAATGAAAACCCATTTCTGATTCTGTAGCACTCTCTCTCTCTCTTTCTCTCATTTTTTCTTTTTTCAAATGGCTGCATCAACTCCTACTCTCCATGCACTTTTCATGAAATGATTTTCTGATTTTTGTATTTCCCATGACAAATAACTTGGCAGAGACTCTTCCTAAACATATTGAACCTGCTTACAAAATTGTAGGAGGGGGAGGAAAAGACAAAAAATTGAACCACATGAAAAATCATAATTTAAAAAACCTGAATGGACCAGTGCTATTCAGAAAACAATGTCTTTATAGATGTTCCCCAAAGTTACAGAAGCATATGTATAGAATAAATTCTGTAGAATGTGAAGTAATAAAATAGCAATAGGCTGGCTGCCTACAGTGAATATTCTGTGGAGAAAAGGCTGCAAAATTAGTTTGAAATCTGCTATTATATAGTTGTTGAAAGCAGATGAAAGAAGTGATACTATGTCTGAAAATATTTATTACTTATTTTTTTAGACAAGTGGCTATAAGTGCATTTGATATCTAATATTTTTAGATATCTGATGTCAAATCTTTTAACAGAAATTTACATTTTTTCATGTATCAACTTAAACAGTTTTACAGTTTTCAATTCTTCAAATATTCATTGCTATAGATCAAAGGTATACATTTAGTTCAATGATTTATACAGATCTGCAATGCATTTGAATCCAGTATTTAAGTAATGTAACTGTTTTGAAACATAAGAAATGTACGCTATCACAATGTCCTGGTCACCGTTGCATTTTTTTCAGCAACTTCTTTCCATCTTTTTAGATTTCTAGATTCTCAGTCTAACCTTTTTCCTCCCATATGGAATTCCTGCAGAATTACTCGTGACTAATTACTTTTCCCCTTATGCTGATAATTACCAAAAACTATGGCAATGGGAATCAAATGTAAATATACAAGATATTTAAGAAGAATCTATATCTAAGCAATCATTATGCACATTGACAAACATATGGCAATTTACTGCTCTAGACCTACACACACACACACACACACACACACAGACAATCTTCAATGATTATAACAACCACAAAAAATTGAATAATTTTATTTTTGAATAATCAGTGGTCTTGTTTCTCTGCCTGTTTTCACATATTGGATGAAAGAAAATTTGGATGAAGGAAAATTAAACTTATGTTAGGCAATATTGTCATATTTTACTTTGTTTCATGATTAAGTTTCAAGAAACCATGCTTTAATGCCAAATTAGAATTATGCCTATGTCAGAAGATAAGAAAAGCTGATCTGAATGATGTCTGAGATCTGATAATGAAGATAATGTTCCATTGCTTAGAAAAATATGTGGACGTTGCAATAAGGCAACATAATCTTTATATTTGTCTTGTTAACCAACTGGTAATATTCTATAATGTTACCATATGTCATTGACAATGGCATTCTATTATTTTTCCCTGTATCTCCTCTTGATACACTGTATTTTTAGACTTTGGAATGCAGAACCTTATAAGAAATAAAATAAGTATCTTATACACAGGAGAGCTTTACAACATACTTCCAAAAATTATTATACTTATTATTCTAAATTTGCATAAAATTTTGGATAGATTCCAACAGCTGAGTACCGCATAAGCTGCTAGGGCTTTCACTGCTGTGGAATAGCTTATATTTCATAAATTCCATAGATAAATATAAGCCCCTATTCTCCAAGGAGCTGATAAAACTAGGATTAATGCTTCCAAAACAGCACTATGGAAAATATTTATATTTTGAACATCAGAACATCAGGTCAAATATCAGAAATGTTCACTGAATTTCATTCACATTATTTTTAAACAGAAAACTATTTCCACAATTATCAAAAGGTATTTTAAAAAGATATTCATACTTAAAAGTTGACTTATGGTGTAAGTCCATAACTATTCATAAATAAACCATCAGAGGTGATTAATTAGTTGTGCCATTTGTATATCAGTAAATGCTTCTACTGGTGCAGTTCTATTTTTAGAAATATCTACTAAAATGTAGTTTTCAATTGAATTAAACATACGGTGTACAATGTATAATTCAATGCATATCAGATATATTCCAAATAGCCATCAAAATCTATGTTGGTTGACTTACCCCATTTAGAGGATAGGTTTTCCATCCTAGCTCTCCAATTACGGTGGTTGTGTCAAGTAATACAACTAGAAATAAATAAATAAAGTTAATTAAGAATGTGTTTTAAGCAATTTAATGCAGCAAGCTACACAACTTTATAAAATTAGTACCTTTTTTCTATGTTGCATTAGGCAATCAACTCAGGAAATATGGATATCCTAAAGGGATACCTTTTCCATTTTAACTATTAATAAACAGAATTTTAATAATCTTGTTTTCAGATTGTCAAATATCCAAACCTCTCTTAAGATATTTTAAAATGCTTTTTTGATGCAGGAATCTTCAAGAACCTGTGCATAGAAATTAACACAGAAACATGTCAATAGGAACATGTGCAATATGTTGAACAGGGGTGTCAGAATGGATTTCTTTGAGGGCTGGATCAGCATTGTAGCTCTCCTCCATGGGCCAAGGATGGGGGGATGGGACAGATACTTTCTGCAACACCCTGGCAGCTAAAACTACCTGTGCACAGCCTCCCTGTGCCTCATTTTCACTATCCATGGCCTCCTGCAGCACTCTGCTGGCCATTTTTGGGCCAGATTTTTCCCATTTGCAGGTCCTTTTTTGAGCCATTTTTTGGCCCATTTTCAGCCAGCAGAGTGCTGCAGGAGGACATGGAGGATGAAAAGGAGGCACAGGGGGCCCGTTTTAGTTTCCAGAGGCCTTTCATATTTCCAGACCCCTGGGGGATGGATTTAAGCACCCTGTGGACCAGATCTGGCCTGTAGGCCTTGAGTTTGACACCCCTGTTGTAGAATAATGAATATAATAAAGGCTTGCTTAGGGTTAGTATTCTTAATTACCGTTGTGTAATTTGTTGTGCTTGAAGCAAACAACACATTTAGAATATATCTTCCTGTTCTCCCAACATATCCATAACAACAACAGCAAAACAAAGTATTTCAAAAGTTAAAATCAATAGTAAAGAAGTAATAGAGATTTTTCTTCCAGGTTTGAAATATAAAATTTATACTTTGTATATAAAACCTGCAGTTTTGTATATACTTATGCTGAACTAAGTTCTATAAATTATTTTTAAGAAGTCACATATAGCATTAGGGTAATAAAATGGAGTTCATCTTATTTTGTACATATGTGCATATATATGTATCTACCATATATGAGTGCATATGCAAATTTAAATATGCATGCTATTTCGAGAATAATAAGCATTGATAACATGAATTTAAATAGTTTGAACAGTTTGTAAAATATTATTTTCTGTGATTAATAAAATTATGATGCTTTTTAAAATCCAATGACCTGGATTTGCATAACATATTGAATTATGCACAGGAAAAATATTTAAGTAAAATAAGAAAATAAATTGGTTGTTTAGTTTATGGTTCAGTATGTTTGCAAACTGGTAAATAATTAAATAATTTATCATACTTTTATTTAATGGTAAATACTGCTTTCTAATGTATTTATAAACTTACCACAATTCAAAAGCAGTGTGATATATAGGATAAGCAGGATAGAATATTTTAGAAGGCTTTTGCTTATCTGAATAAAAATGTGGAAATTGGTGGAATATAATAAATTGAATGCCCCTATAAATGCTGGAACAAAGAAACAGCAGTATGCTATAATATTTACAGGAAAACTGTTATATAATAAGGTAATATCTGAAAGTTCTCTGTGCTTTATATTTGCAGAAATTTTATATTTAATGAGATTCATGTTCGTATTTCGTTCAAGTGGAAATACTTAACTGTACCACAAAAATAGCACATACTGTAACTCTAATCTTGTTCTTTTATATGGAATAATAAGGAGTGAATAATGCTTAATAGGTTCTCTTCTGTGGAACTCTAGGCATTAAACACCCACGTGCTGTTGATACATCCCTCTCTGTATTTGAATATAATATATATGAATAAGTAGCATAAAAACATAGAATACATTTTATAGGCTGCAAATTCTGAGATTCATGTTAAACTTACTTATAATACCCTGTTTCTCCAACAATACGGCCTCCCCCAATAGGAAGTCCCAGCATGTTTTATAGGCATGAAATGAAATTAAGCCCCTCCCCCTGAATTAAGGGCTATATTAAAACATGCAAAATGGGGGGGAAATGGCGTGGGGGCTTGCTGTTAGGAAATGCTTTTGTTGCACACCCGGATATGGTGTTGCCTGTGTTGACCCTGATACAAAGAGCCCCACCAATGCCGAGGTCAACAACCAAGATGTCACTGCCCGCCCTAAGATGCAAGGGGGGGTGAATTAAGTCACCCCCTGAAAAGACGCCCTAGCCATTTTTTCGGGGCTTCCCCCCCAAAATAAGACCTGGCCTTATTATATGAGAAACATGGTATTATCAAGAAAATATGGTCCTTTTCCTACCATTTCTAAATAAATAACACATATTAATTATTCTGTTAAATAAGGGGACCATGATGAGGTGCATAGTATCCAGGATATTTTGAATCTTCTCAATAATAATTACAACCAGATTCAGTATTAAACTTATGTTAAATAGGAAAGAACACCATTTTGACTGCTCTTCTAGACACCAGCAGTTGGCCATTCTTATTTCCTTGACTAAGGTAACAGCAGAGCATAAACTGAAAAGGGGGCTCTGGCAACCTCTTTGAGTTATGCAGGAGTAACTCTTGAGTTAATTTTATTTGAAGGAGGCAGTTGTCAATTACTCAGATATCAAGACATAAAAGACTTTATTGAACAAAACCAGCATTTTCAATGGTACTCATAAATTTCTTGTAAATCAATACAGCCGTTTGCAAAATTGATGACACATGGTATGGAGGGATCTCATTTGCCAAATGCATTTGAGATGCTGAAATTACATCAACACCATTCAGAGTATATTGCAGGAATGGATTCTATAGATAAAATAGTACATGTGAGAAAGCTATTGCCAATGTTTCATTTTCTAGAAAGAATTGCAGCTGATAGGCTAGTCATAGCTGAGCAAAGCTTTTCATGGCTATGAACTACATACTCTTATTTAGCAAAAGTCTTGTCTCTAGGACAACACCTAAGTTGTATGTGGGGGTGGGATTCAAATTTTTAACAATCGGTTCTGTGGGCAGGTTTGGTTGGTGGGAGTGGCTTGGTCGTCATGTGACTGGCTGGGTGTGGCCAACTCAATATCACTCACATCGAGGCATACATTTCCTTGCCTGACATCTCATGACTGTGGGGATGCTGCAACAGTCGTAAGTGTGAAAAATGGTCATAAGTCACCTTTTTCAGTGCCATTGTAACTTTGAATGGTCACTCCACACAAGCAAAGTGCTAGCAGAGGAGGAAAAAAAAACTCCAGAGACGTTCCTGAGACAGGAAGTCTAGTCCTGCCAAGAATGTAATAAGGGTCAATGGAAAGGCAGTTTCTGTAAGCAACACCAGAATGTTTCCTTCCTGCCTTCCTTATAAGATTAGGCCAGTAATTTCTTCTAACAACCGGTTGTCTGAACTGCTTAGAATCTTAACAACCGGTTCTAGCGAATAGGTACGAGTCTGTAGAATCCCACCCCTGGTTGTATGTTTCAATATCTAAGGGGTTGCTACATAGAAGCAGGGGTCAACCTATTCTCCCAAAGCACTTGGGAGCAGAACAAGAAGCAACTAATGGAAACTATTCAAGGAGAGAACCAATCTAGAACTAAGGAGAAATTTCCTGACAGTTACAACAATTAATCAGTGGAACAACTTACCTCCAGAAGTTGTAAATGCTCCAACACTGGAAGTTTTTAAGAAGAGATTGGACAACCATTTGTCTGAAATGGTGTAGGGTTTCCTTCCTGAGCAGGGGATTGGACTAGGAAATGTCCAAGGTCCCCTCCAACTCCATTGTTATTATTTTATTTCTTAAGTGAGAATAAAAGAAAACCCTAGCAGCAGGCAAAAGATTCCAGTTTTTCTGCAATTCTGTCTCAGGATCGAGCTTTAAAGCCTTCAAATAACAGGTCACGATTTCCACTGTGTGTTAGTTCAGCCCAAGGTGATGAGGTACAACTAAATATTATCAGTGTATTGATAACACCTCAACCTATATGAGTGGGTGACTTCTTCCATTGGCTTTGTACAGATATTAAAATGCAAAGAGAGAGAATCAGTCTTTCTGGTATCTCACAAATAAGCAACACCTGAATGGCTTCTGTCCTATTATCACCAACTGGTATTACTCTTAGGAAGGAACAGAAAAACTCCTAACCACAACACAATGCTTTCCACTTGTAGTCATCATAACTGAGCTGAGAAAATATGGTTGATGGCATCAAAGACAGCTGAGAGGTTCAAAAGGACCTTTTGAAAAAAGTGTGCCATGCAGATTTCAACAAAAGTAAGTAGTAGACAATAAATAGGATTTTCATTCGATGTCCAGGTTTGAATCCTTATAGTATTGTAATTGATTTCTTCTAGAAAATACCTCTGAGTCACTAGAATGAGAAGGCAAGTAAAGGCAGGTTTCTTGTTTCATTGGGTGAAAAATTAAACATGACAATTGGAATTCTGCAGAGAAGTTGGTAGCTTAATTGTTATGGATACGTTTCTATATTGTGCCTTAGTTGAGCTCTAAACTGCAGAAGATAATCTTCTAGGCAACAGGAGTGGAATTCAGGATAAGCCAATGAAAGAATTGAAACAATAAACAATGCATGCAGAACTAGCTGTGCAAATGTTCTCTTTTCCTATAGGGAGGGTTGTGTTTAAAGATAAGTTTAAAATGGCAGATTTTTTTTTCCTTCACTGGATGTTAGTAAATGTTACAGCTTTTATATTTATACCTCTTACATCAAGGAACTGAATTTTTCCATAGGTAACACTGATACAAGTGGCCCATAATCAGATCAGTCATTTTTTTCCCCAAGAATATGGTTCCCAATAAGGTAAACAATGTGCTCCAATCCAGTTTTTTTCCTAATGGAGTGCCCTTCAGATATTCAGATTTCAACTTTCCACCCTCATCATGATTCTATAACCCTGCCAAATGTGTTCTTTATGTAAATTATTATTGATTGAGCTTCTTTATAGAAACTATTTATAAAATGAC